GCTTCATGTGTCGTAATGTTACTTAATTATACATTATTATTTCATAGCGTGGGGAATGCGCAAGCCATGTGTTTTCCACTAGAGCGTTTTGGAGTCATTTGATGGTGTATTTGATTAGTTTTGAGAGAGAGAAGGGGCTGTACCATTCACCTCCATTTCAGCAGGCAGCTCTGCTCCACTGATCTCAGAACTGCAGGCACTGACAATTAAAGGTAATGTACCTACCCATATGACTATAGGGATTATGGCAATAGGCGAATTTGCCAAAATGTCAAACTGTCCCTTTAAGTCTAGTCTTAAACGTGGAGACGGTGTCTGTCTCCCGGACCACAACAGGAAGATGATTCCACAGGAGAGGAGCCTGATAGCTGAAGGATCTGGCTCCTGATCTACTTTTGGAGACTTTTGGGACCACAAGTAACCCTGCATTCTCAGAGCGCAGTGTTCTGGTGGGATGATATGGCACTATGAGCTCTCTAAGATATGACAGAGCCTGACCATTTAAAGCTTTGTAAGTTAGGAGAAGGATTTTAAATTCAGTTCTGGATTTTACAGGGAGCCAGTGCAGAGAAGCTAAAACAGGAGAAATATTATCTTGTTTCTTAGTTCCTGTCAGTACACGTGCCGCTGCGTTCTGGATTAGCTGGGGAGTTTTCGAAGACTTATTAGAGCTACCTGATAATAGGGAGTTACAGTAATCCAGCCTAGAGATAACAAAAGTGTGGACCAATTTTTCTGCATCTTTTAGGGTCAGGATAGGCCTAATTCTCACAATATTACGCAGATGAAAAAATGCAGTCCGTGAGGTCTGTTTTAAATGGGAATTAAAAGACAAATCTTGGTCAAATATTACTCCGAGGTTTCTTACGGTAGTGCTAGAGGCCAGAGCAATGCCATCCAGAGAAAACTATATCATCAGATAAAGAGTCTCTGAGTTGTTTGGGGCCAAGAACAATAACTTCAGTTTTGTCTGAATTTAACATAAGGAAATTGGTGCTCATACAGTTTTTTATGTCTTTAAGGCATTTTTGAAGTTTAGTTAATTGATTAGTTTCTTCTGGCTTTGTCGATAAATACAATTGTGTATCATCCGCATAGCAATGGAAATTTACAGAATGATTTCTAATGATGTTACCTAAGGGAAGCATATATAGAGTGAATAGGATTGGTCCGAGCACAGAACCTTGTGGAACTCCAAAACAAACTTTAGTACGTAGAGATGTATCTCTGTAGCAGAATTTGATGGTCAATTGTGTCAAATGCCGCACTAAGATCTAATAAAACAAATACAGAGATGAGTCCTTTGTCTGAAGCAATCAGAAAATCATTTGTAATTTTAACTAGTGCTGTCTCAGTGCTATAATGCACTCTAAATCCTGACTGAAATTCCTCAGATAAATTATTATCATGGAGAAAATCACACAGCTGGTCTGCGACTACTTTCTCAAGGATCTTTGAAAGAAAGGGAAGATTAGATATTGGTCTATAATTGGCTAACACCTCTGGATCCAAGGTGGACTTTTTTAGAGGAGGTTTAATTATAGCTACCTTAAAGGACTGTGGTACATAGCCGGTTAATAAAGATATATTGATCATGTCTAATATGTGAGTGTTAACTCAAGGTAAGACTTCCTTAAGTAGCCTAGTTGGGATGGGGTCTAAGAGACACGTTGATGATTTAGATGAAGAAATCATTGGGGTCAATTCTTAAAGAGAAATTGGGGAGAAGCAATCTAAATATATATTAGGTCTTACAGCTGTGTTTGAGGGCAGATTGGTTCCGTTTGAGGGCAGGAGGTCATGAATTTTGCCTCTAATAGTTAGAATAATGTCATTAACAAAGCTCATAAAACCATTACTGCTAAGGGCTAAAGGAATACAAAGCTCAATAGAGCTGTGACTCTCAGTCAGCCTGGCTACAGAACTGAAAAGAAACCTGGGGTTATTCTTATTTTCTTCTATTAAAGCTGAGTAATAGTTTGCTCTGGCATTGCAGAGGTCTCTCTTATATGTTTTGAGACTTTGTTCCCAGACTAAGCGATATTCTTCCAGTTTGGTTAATCGCCAATTCCTTTCAAATTTCTGCGATATTTGTTATAATTTTCGGGTTTGAGAGTTGTACCAAGGAGCGAACTTTCTTTGCTTTGTTAACTTCTTTTTAAGAGGTGCTACAGAGTTGAGTGTTGTTCGCAGCAAGCCTGCGGCGCTATCAACAAGATAATCAGTTCGGGAGAGTTTAAAGTCGGTACGGGAAACCTCTGTTACTGAAGGACATGGTATTAAATTCAATGTCGATGGAATCTTTGCCTTAAATTTTGCGACAGCACTATCTGATAAACATCTAGTACAGTAACTGTTGCTGAGTGGCGTGTAATCAAGTAGAAAGAAATCAAAAGTTATTAAATAATGATCTGATAGTGTGGAAAGACTGTAAGGTTATGAATTTCAATTCCATACGTCAGAACTAGATTGAGGGTATGGTTAAAACAGTGAGTGGGTTTATGTACACCCTGACTGAAGCCAATGGAATCTAATAATGAGATAAACGCAGTAGCCAGGGAGTCATTATCAACGTCAACATGAATGTTAAAATCACCTACAATAATAACTTTATCTGATTTAAGAACTAAACTGGATAAAAACTCTGAGAATACAGATACAAATTCAGAATACGGGCCAGGAGCATGGTACACTATAACAAATAAAAATGGCTGCAAGGTTTTCCGGGTCGGATATAAAAGACTAAGAACAAGGCTTTCAAATGAATTATAATCTAGTTTAGGTTTAGGGCTGATTAACAGCCACTGCCTTGAGGAATGTGGGTATTATTATGACTGGGAGGAGTGGATTAATTTAGACTGACATATTCATCTTGACACAGCCAGGTTTCAGTGAGGCTGAGTAAATCAATATGATTATCTGATATTAATTTGTTTACTAACAATGCTTTAGATGTTAGAGAGCTGATATTTAACAGTCCACATTTAATTCTCCTGTTTTGTCTTTCTGTCACATAAGAGGTTTTAATTTTTATTAAGTTGTTATGCACAACTCCTCTTCGTTTAATTTTAGACTAGGTGGTTGGGGGACAGACACCGTTTGTAAAAAACTATGGGCGGGTAACTGCACTAGAAGCTCAGAGAAGCGTGTAAGACTGCGACTCTGATTCCTGGTCTCAACTCTGGTTTGTCAGGGTTTTGAATTACTACTACACATGGCCAGGTTTCTAGATATGTTCCATCCATAGTGGGATGAATGCCGTCTCTCCTAATCAGACCAGGTTTTCCCCAGAAAGTTTGCCAAAAAATTATTTTGGTAAAATAATTTCCGTTGTAACTCTGTTTAGTTTTATTCCCTTTTTGGTTGCTGCAGGCCAGTGGTGGTGGTACTGGTGACCTGGGTAGTGGTATCCCTCCCTTCTGTGTGCTGTGTTTCCCCTGGGATCATAGGTGATTTCACAAATTATGTGTGTGTGACTGTCACATGTGCCTGGGTGATTTATATATACATATACGTATATATATATATATATATATATATATAGTTTTTTCAAATATTTTTGTTTGTTGGATCCCCATCCCCTCACTAGCTCCTGTCCCACCAGTAGGCCTCAGCTCCTGACTAGGTTCCCTTCCCCCCTTCTGGTATGAATGGTGTTTTGTAGTTTTTAAAAAGAACATATATAACAGATCATTGTATTTGTAGACCCCCTACGCTCGCCACATTTTGTGTTGTTTTGTTTTGTTTTTCAAGAATAAGTCAAAATGTTGAGAATAAAAGCAAATGTTAAGCATAAAGTCGAATTGTTTAGAATAAACTACTAGCGTTAGCGCATATAGCTGCCTCTGCAAAATGCCAAAATGTGTATATGAACTGGTGATGTTATACTTTCCAATCAGTGTCATCATCAAGGAAATTATTTGTCTTTTAGCGCATTAACACAGTGTGGTAATAAGTACTAAGACTTTGAAGAGATTGTGCTGAAATTACATCTGTTCAGAAGTAAAACCACACAAACTTGGAAGAGGTGGCTGCATGAGTGCAAACTAAAATAGTTGGTGATGGACAGATGCTAGGATATCGATGGTTACAGCTGTGTGCAGTTGGAGAGGATAGGCTATGTTGTATCATTTCAAGTTGAAATGCAAAAAAACCAACCCTTCCTTAGAAATAAGTCTCAACTGACTTAACTGACTTAAACAGATCACCGTATTTGTGTAAAGCAAGAAGTTGCAGATTAAGCATGCTGTATGTTTGTTGTCATTTTAATTGTGTGTGAAGATCTGAGATGACACCCTTCATTATAGAATGATTTCACTGTGGTTTAGGAGAAACATTTGCTTCTTAGTGCTTCTCTCTGAGTACTGAAACAGTGATGACACAAAATCTACAGGACAGCTACATTGCTCTGGGTGTCAAAAGAGTTACATGTGACCAGCCCCAACATCACTGTGGCCTTAAAACATGTGCAGGTGTCATTCTTGACATACAGTACGCGTGTGTGTGTGTGTGTGTGTGTGTGTGTGTGTGTGTGTGTGTGTGCTTTAACCGTGTTGTTGTATCTATTTTTCAAGCATGATTGTCTTGATTTTGTCTTTCTGTTGTTGATCTGAACTTGAACAATCAGAAAATCTTTTTAGTAATTTATCATGATTTTGGTTTCTAATAACTACTTTTCAGATTAGTAGTTGTGCTTTTATGTTATGTTTGAGATAAATGTAAGGTAAAATGACATTTATTGAATAAATAAAAAGGCAAACAGATATTTTCCTTGATAAATATCGACAAACTAGCCTCTTTCACAGTAGACATATTGTGTAAGGTTGGTATAATGCCCCTTTAGAACTTAATTTCACCTGACCAAATTTTGACATCATTTCATCAGTGTAGGAGAAAGGGCAGAAATTTTGTTTGTGCCAAGAGACTTGGGTGTGTCAAAGATTATCACAGTGGTGTGTCAGTGATTCCTGTCAAGACTGAGAAGAGGAGGTGGGGTTTTCTCTGTAGTCTGCCACTATAAAGCCTTCCTCGTGGAAGTTTCTGTAGTTGGCAAGGGCTCGAGAGAAGCTGGCAACCCATGTAGCCGGTCTCTATTCTGGGACATATGCCTGGATCACCGTGCACAAAGGTAGGAGCACTTACTGCAGGTCAAAGTCTCTAAAGTTCAGTAGGACAGTAAAATGTGACTTAACTGAATGTTTGCCAGTTGATCGAATGAACTTATATTTAAAGAAGATTATAGGTGTGAGGTTATGTTAGGTATATCATTACCTATTCTGAGTGCATTGATTGTAATGGATGATTTATTAAAATTAAATCAAATCATTGACCATAGGTATCACCATAATATGCAGCAAATTAAACAACAATTAAAATTTCTTTGATACACAATAACATATTTTTATGACTCATAATAAGCAGTGATTAAGCCTTGACGTGTTGCAGAGAGACACCTTTTCTTCTTTCCCCTCAGGATATTCAGAAGAATATCAACGGCTCCACCTCTGCTGCTTCTCCTGTCACCTTCACAGTAAGTCAGTGCTCACAGTTTAGATGCACAGTGTGGGTTAGATGCCGTGTGCATTTTGACATTTGAATAGAATTCTTTCATTAATTTTTAACCATAACCGTGGCTGCAGGAGCTCCAACTCCTGATGGCGCACCCTGAGCTGCCGTCTGAGCAGGACAGCTCCCATGAGGAAAAGAAGGAGAAGGACCCTGTGCAGCCAGGGCCCACAAAGCTGAGGAGGGCCAGGGTTCGCTTCCTCAAGATAGTCTCCTACTTTGCTGGAGACATGGAAGTGTTTGCAAAATGGATGGAAAGTAAGTCAACTCTAATTGCTCACACCACGCAGCAGTTTACTGAAGATTACATTACTATAAAATAGCAGTATACCATACTAATGTTATTCTGATAACCACTGTACCCTTGGCCAATATATATTGAATCCCTACACCCTTTGTGGAAAAAACATAGGTAGATTAGAGTTTGTTTAACAGTGAGAGTGGGTCTTGCAATGTCGCTGTCAAATTACTGACGTTGTGTACATCAGTTACTCCACCCTCTGTTACGTGACTGGTATAGATAGTTACTCAAGAGTGGATTTAAATGACAGACAAGCATGTAATGTATGGTATCTGTCAAAACAATTATGTTTCACTTACACACTCATGATAGGAACTTGAAAGTGTGCCTTATGCTACAGACTACAGAGTGTTTACTCAACTATTATGTATACTAGTATACTATGTTCCCAGTGAAGTACAGTTACTTTGTTCCAGTAGAAGAACCTGTTGTACATATAAGATAAAACGTCTGTGATGTCATTATTTTATACCTGAGAAAATTCACTTGGCATATGAAGCAGCTGTCAATGCTCTCTGTCTGCTCTCTCTCTCTCTCCGCTCTCCAGAGCAGTTTTTCTTGCTGCAGTTGCTGGACTGGGTTTTACGCGGAGCTGCTCAGGTGATGTTTGTCAACAACCCCCTGAGTGGCCTCATCATTTTTGCCGGCCTCATCCTGCAGAACTATTGGTGGGCTCTCAACGGCTTTGTGGGCACACTCTTTGCCACCATTTCTGCCCTCATCCTTCAACAGAGCAGGTTTGAGCAAAGTTATGCTGCAGATAATAATACACTAAATTAGATATTACTATATATAAAGAGGGTTGGATGTGAATTGAACACTCATTTACAGTACAACATACCTTCACACTAACACTAAATGTCTTTCAGGGGTGCAATAGCTGCAGGGCTGTATGGTTACAATGGCATCCTGGTGGGTCTGCTGATGGCTGTGTTCTCCAATGCAGGAAACTGGTACTGGTATCTCCTGCTGCCCAACATCTTCATGTCCATGATGTGGTAAGAAACTAAAATGACTAATGATAAAATGATACAGTAGATTCATATCAAATAGATGATTTAACCAAAACACGACATAAAAAGGCCAATAACAGATCAGTTTACTACAGTATGACCATATAAATGCCATGAGGTCTTAGCTCTGTATTTTCCTTTGTGCTTCTGTATCCAGAATTCATTAGCCTGAATCTCAGTTAATCATTGCTTAGACACTCAGCCATAAAGCAAATCAGTGATTTAATTATGTAAGTTAAAGTAATACTTCACCCTCCAAATGACCATTTATATATCAAATATTTAACTCCTGTTACCTTGAGTTCATAAAAACATTGGACAAAGACTCCAAAAACTGAAAATTCATAAAGTCATGAAGGATCACATTTACATGAGAACATCCATGAACAAACTCTCACAGAGCTCACGCAGTATAATCCAAGTCTCATTTACTCAGCTGTTTGCTCAGTACTTCCTAAACACATACTATTTAAAACACACTACACTACAAACAAGCAGCATGTGCGGGAAAATGTGTGCGTTTAAACACATGTGCTTGCCTAGGGGTAGCACTCATCATTGTATGAGACTGTTTAAGTGACAGTCTTTTTCAAATAGTAAGGAATTTTGTCAGTCTTTGGATTCTTTGTTCACCATTGAGGCATTTGAGAAATTTTCTTCATGAATTTAACAAGACACAGGATGAATAATTGATGTTCCAAAAAATGATTTTATGGTTGAAGTATTACTTTAGGTGAAGAAAACGTGTAGACAGTGGCACAGTCCTGCTCAAAATATGCAAAAGCAACTAGACTGTGATGGGGATTGAGATACAAACACTTATACTTCAGTAACTGTGCAAGTTAAATGTGGATTAAAGCTCATCCTGGTGATGTTGCATCCTTTGTTTCAGTCCAATTGTGTCCAGCGCCCTGGCATCTATCAACAGTCGCTGGGATCTGCCGGTGTTCACTCTGCCCTTCAACATCCTGGTGTGTCTCCACATGGTTGCCACCGGACACTTTAACCACCACTTCCCTCAAGTCCTCATTCAGCCTCGCTCAGAGCTGCCCAACATCACCTGGGCTGAAATCGACGTCGCCAAGGTCAGTGACAGACTAGTATTTGTTAATGTATGTTATATAATAAACTTCTCTGTGGGCTGGTACATTCTCTGTGAACACAGTGCATGTTAGGATCAGATGCTTTTACCTATCTTCTGTTGACATTTCAAAGTTATGTAATTTAGACGTCACAGATTCATCAGCTCATTAACAAAGGTTCCTTGTGCAGTTACAAGGCTACACTACATCAGTGCCTACATAAGTTTACGTTTTACAGGTGCATCAAAGCTTCCAGGACTGTAAAATGACAATCAGTCACAGCCTCTACACACTCCCACAAGAGTTCAGCAAAGGAAGCACCTGACGGTTATAAATCAGGTTGTGGATCTACAGCTATGTAACCTTCCTCTCTCTGCCTCTTTAGCTGTTCATGTCGGTGCCTGTGGGAGTTGGTCAAGTCTACGGCTGTGACAACCCTTGGACAGGAGGAATCTTCATCATCTCACTCTTCATCTCCTCCCCTATCACCTGCGCTCATGCTGTCCTGGGATCTGCTGTGGGCATGGTTTCAGGTGAGAGGACCAGACCATACCTCTGCAGGGAGCCGGATGTAAAAGTCTGGCTGCCGCAATAAACAGCGCAACTTATTTTTGCTTCCTTGCATGCTTACAGAATGAATTCAAGCCACAGTCAATTTGTTCCAACTCCATAGATGGCCCCCAAAAATCCATTAAAGGTGTAAAATAACCAAGAGGGTCATTATTTATGAGGACAATCCAAACTTAAACTGACTGTGATGATGACTGTGATGTACTATTTTGTAGGCTTGGCTCTGGCAGCGCCTTTTGGAGACATTTACTTCGGCCTCTGGGGATACAATTGCGTGTTAGCCTGCATTGCCATCGGAGGAATGTTTTACGCTCTTACCTGGCAGGTGCACCTGCTGGCCATCACATGTGGTGAGTAGATGCCCAGGAGAACACTATCTACAAAAAGGAATCTAATCCAGACAGGACAATGGCATGACATGTAACATGTGCACCACTGGCATAGAGCGTCTAGAGATTTGTAATCTGTGGTCACACTTATCACAGCACTGGCATAAGAAGTCTCATGGTAGGCTATCTCTCTTCTTCTCCTCTGCAGCTTTTTTCTGTGCATACCTCGGCTCAGCCATTGCCAATATCATGTCTGCAGTAAGTATATATTTTCTATCACTCCAATAATTAAATCAACCCATAATGAACAAAAGTTATGAACAGCAACATGATGTCTTTTTCATCTGCAGTTTGGTCTGCCAGCTTGCACTTGGCCTTTCTGTCTCTCCGCCCTCACTTTCCTCCTCTTAACCACGGGGACCAAGAGGATCTTCAAGCTGCCGCTGGCCAAAGTCACCTACCCCGAGAAGAACCTGTGCTTCTACTGGAAGATGAAGAAGCAGGAGAAAAAGGACAAGGCTGAGAAAGAGAGTAAAGAGAAAGAGGAGCAGCAGAAAGCCATTGAAGAAGAGGTGATACTGAATGAGAAAGAGCAACTGAGGCTAGAGCTTGAGAGGATGGAGGAGGGGAGAGCAGCGAGTGAAGCATCAGAGGCTGGAAACAACAAAACTCGCGCTGAAGATGAGGCACCTGGTGTAGAACAGCAGGGAACTGAAGAAGAAATCAGACAAAATGAAATAATCCAAGTCACTATTGGTGAGAATGAGAGTTAGAATGTCTAATACTGCATTTCTGCAGAAAGAGAGAAAGAGAGAGGAAACATTAGTGGAACACAAATGTATGAAAATGTAAATAAGTGTATCTTTAAATAATCTTTCAGGGTATTTGTTGTGAAAAATATATAAGTGCAGCTGATGGTTTTTACTGGATACATTTGATGATATGTAGCATTTGTTTTCTCTATGGCATCTTGTTTATATATCAAATGAATATATTTTCAAATAAATTATTTTCTAATAATAAGTCTGGTCTATGTTTGTTTGTTCATTGTTCTCTAAAAGAACTTAATAAGTAGAATATAAAATATTCTTGCATCATCTGTTGGTGTGATCAGCTACCCCACTTGTCTGAAAAACACTTGTTATTCATCATTTAGTTATAGGGCACAGTCTTTTCTCCAACATGCAAAAGAAAGAAGAATTAAAAGCAAGAAATCAAAAAATCTTCAGACAATATACATACAACTTATTTTTTTCCGGTGCTATTATTATAGTGGAGTGTGTGTTTGGACCTAAGGAGGAATGGCTGGCATTCTTTTAAATTAAATCAAATGTAGCCCAATGCAATTCAATGTGCTGACTAATTTCTGGAGAAATATTGTTTGTTGGCTGTAAACCAACCCCACAAGCTTCAGCACAGCAAGAAATGCAAAAACTGATCTATTTTAAGTACAGAGACCATTCTTAGGTGCTTCCAGACTCAAAAAGACTACTAAGGACCTAAAGCTAATTTGGGCTTTATAATATAAATGAGATTGGTTTCAGTCACATCGGTCCTGCATACCATCAATTTACTGTCACTTACTGCTAATGAACCCTACCCAAATTTGAACCAACCGAGTTATTGAAAAATGTGAATTGCTTACATGAAATTAAACTGCTTCTTAGCATTTTCCTGGTTCCACTGTTTCCTGCTTCCTGCAGGCGACTGACATCCATTTTTCTCTCCCGTAATTCTAGACAAGCTGTTTGTGTCAAAATCTTACTCTGAGCAGCAGAGGTCCCCTCTGGCTTTATTCAATTTGGTTTATTAGTCTGAAAATTCAGGAAATGCACTCATATGCTTTCTTGCTGATAGAGGGTTATGGGCCACGCTATTTTTAACTCAAGATGACGTGCACCTCCAGTAATCGCGCTTGCTGTTACCCTGTTACCAGTCTTTATGCTAAGCTAACTGGCTCTTAGCTCTAGCTCGATGTATTCTCACACAGTGGTTTGTAGGATATCTTACAAAAAGGTACATAAAGCGGTTTGTATAATATTCATTCACTCATTTCCCATAACCACTTAACCTGTTGGGCCATGGGGGGGCTGGAGCCTATCCAAGCTGACATTGGGCGAGAAAATAACCCAAAGTTGGTTTCACATGGGACATGAATACCGGTCTTCTTGGGCAAAGTCTTGTGTTTGCTTGACCTGTCCTCCAGCCCAACCTCCTTACACTGATATTTGCTTTTTATATAGCTTCCTTCTACACTCCCGTCAGTGCACTGGTTATGTGACCGCAGCCCTCCTGCTTACGTACTTAGATAGGGCCCCTAATATTGGCCAGAACATTTGCATGACGGGGGCCAGGCTGTGGTGTGTCCTTAGTCACATATAGAGCTGTTCAGTTGTAATGCAGGTTTTTTTCTCAAGTGATTTCAATCAAGCTGTTCTGATGAAAAGAGGGAACCAGCAGAGCCTGTTCTTGGCATGTTTTATACAGTGGTTTTCTGTCAAGCTGCAATGTCTGGGGCTGAAAAACGAACTAAGTGTCAAAAACTGCAGTTCCTCAAATGGTCACCTGAGGCTGGCTCCAGGGGTGAGTGACTCCCCATAGACACCCTTGTTAAAATGCCCAACTTTACAGCAGTAACAAACACGTTTACAACCCGGTACTAATAAACACTTTTGTTCTCTATTGTTACCTTCAACATCCTTGAAACCTGTCCGTGGGAGATTTTCATAACTCACCTGCTTGCTATTATTAGACTTTTATTAGACAAAAAAAAAAAAAAAATCACAAAAAGATGGCAATGGCCATTATTTTATACAGTCTATGTTTTTAGTGCATGAAGGAACTCCCATAGGTGATGGTAGCATAAAGACTGGGTTTGAGTTGAGTTTGTATTTTAGATTGTGTTTTAGGCTGCTGTAGGTTTGGAGAGGTTCAATTTTGGGTTTGCTGTGCCACAGTTTTAGCCAATGAAATAAATAACACCCTCTAATGTGCAAGAATTTGTTGGTTGTCCTTCTTTAAACTTGTTGGAGCAGCAGGCTAAGGAACAGTTACTGTATGTTGTGATAATAACATTCAAATGTGGAGGTACAGTATATGTTGGACAACTCAACTTTCCAGTTTAAAGTGTTCTCCACCTTGTCTGGTAGTAAGAAAATCAAACAATGCTTGGAGTATGACCTTTTACTGATTTTAAAAGTCATGAAGTGAATAACATCCGTTTGGTTGAGTAAAATCAGGTCAGTAAATGTGACCTTAACTATACTGCTATGCTCTATTGAATGTACAGTGCATCTGTGCATTTATGCATTTTTGCGCAACGTGCCTGCAGCATTCCAGTGCTCAATGAAGCAAGTGGTTGCTGGTACATAGTTGCGTAGTTTACTCGGCCGATGTAATCTACAGTGATGTACATGCACCAGTGATCCTCAGATCACACGTGTTGTTCAGCATATTCAAGCTTTGATTGACAGACGGCAGAGGAACCACTGGCTGTTGATTCATCAGGCTAATGCAGGTATTGTGGGCTATTGTTGCCCCAAAATAAAATTGTTCTCAGTTGTGGCTCCTTTGAAAAGCAAAGGTTAGTATATCTAGTCAAACAAACATGAAAATGCATTTGCCTGCCTTTTTCTATGCTTCTTTGGCTTCTGTGTGTGTGAGTGTGTAAAGGTCACTATGAAGAAGATGTTGATTTATACATTGTGTTGACTCCTGAGCAATAGCACCAAAAGGCTACATGTCACTAAGAGTGAAACAAATAAACTGGTTTTTGCCAGATGGGAAAAGGCACTCCATAATTTGGCACACTTAGATCATATAGAAAACTGACCTTTTAGGAGGATGAAGATCTGAAAATTGATGAGTTAGATAAGAATGAACTTTTGAATTGGCTTTAGAGTAAGTCTTGAGATGCTCATGAATAGTGCCCTCACTTAAATATATCATAAATAAAAACACAAATTTGAGAAATCTGTAGGTCATAAATAGCAAGAATCTAAAGTTTCTGAAATGGAGGACCAAATGAGGTGGATGGCTCTGATTGGGTTGCTATCCGAACAAAACTTTTCTGAAGGACCAAAATTTACAATATGAAAGACAGGGATAAATTACACTGTGATTTAAAGCAAGGAAACTATTTGTGGTACTTGAGGAAAGCCCAATCAGTGCGGCAAAATGCCGCCTACTTACTTTTGTTTATACAGAATGCGCCTTTTTCGGGGCAATGGTGGGTGTGAGCAAGTAACAAAACGTGTAGCTCAGCATGTGAAGTAAACAGTGACGTGGGAGGGAAGCCGCTGCAATTGTCAACTGCAGAGGCATCAAAGGGCTGAAAGACCTGGCCTTCAAAGTCACATTTGTTGTAAGCAATGGCGTGTGTAGAGAATAATGTGCTGTAGATGTGTGGTTAAGTAATCAATCACCTCTTTCTCGAGCAGCCGTCATCGCTACAATTAGTTCCTTTCATCTTTGTTGGACGGCTTCAAGGAAGTCCTCATTGATAAGGATGTCTGAGCCCTTCAGGTTTCTATCTTTATCCAGAACAGAAGGTTTGTCCTTTAACCACAGAAACCTGACCACAGTGGGTCATGGCTTTTCTGACTATGAGTGCACTCCAGCACTCTTTTCAAATTACCCAGCTATAGTTTCCTCCTGACACCTTCAATTTACTCTGAACGGTGCAGAGTTCGTGAGGTGAGATTGGCGGAGAATGTCTGAAGGATTTGACACAAGTACTTTTATTTCTTTATATCTTATTATAAAAGTAATTTAAGACCATAATGATAATTGCATCAGGTTTAGTGGTTTAATACAAAAGTGCTTTCTGAAGCTGAATGGAAGACTGTCAAGCTTTAAAGAGTGTATATGTTATTCAGGGACCAATAAGCAGGTGAGACATAAAGTCAGAAAATTTTCTACAGCTGAATAGTTTGGACCTCAGGCCCATTAAATGGCTTTCACATTGACATCTCTCTATTCTCTATCCAGGCCACCATCAGCTTGTTTTGAGTTCGGGCTTTGTTTCTTGTTTCCACACATAACTCTTATAGTATCCGTTCACTGCAATCATTAACGATAACATTGATTAACACTTTTATGTTATTTCAGATCTTAGCTCATTTGAACTGGAGGGCAGCTAGAGCACAAATACAATTCTGCCCTTGTCATAGGTGCAAGCAGGGAGGGCTGGTCATCTCCAGCATTGCACTTCAGTTAACTCACACAGTTTGGAGTCACGAGACACTTTCAGTGGTGAAAATATGTAATCTTAACATTTCTAAAATCTCGCAGGGCCCTCTTCCTCCATCCAGGAATGTGAGGTATGAAGATAGGTTTAAGAGAAGATCAGATAACCAGGTGCAGCAGAACTACCCAGAAGCTTCCAGAAATCTGCCCAATGAATCGTTTTACAAAACCGCAAAATCTTCCCTCTACCAACCTTCAGCCAACTTTTGCCAAGTTGCCGAAAACTGCAATTCTCTAAATAGCCACTTGAGGCTGACTCCAGAAGCCAGTCAGTCCCCATGTATAAATGCCGAACTTTACAGCAGGAATAAACATGTTTACAGCCTGGTACAAAAAAATGATTTTGGTCTGTATAGCTAATTTTCCCCTTCATGACAACGGTACAGGGTGAGTTTTTATATAACTCAACCATTTACATGTTAAGACTTAAAGTTACGCATAATTAAGGGTGGGCTGCTTTGAATGACAGGTTGTCTCCTGATAGTGTCCTCAGCCTCAGTCAGAGCCATCCCTTGCTTCTCCACAGTGCCAGCCTCTCACCCAAAATGGTCACTTCCGGCTCCAAAAAAAATGTAATGCCGACATCAAGGCTTCCAAACAGAAGTCCATAAAACCAATGGGTGATGTCACAGTAGCTGCTTCCGTTATTTATAAAGTCTATGGTGGGGCACTAGTGCTGGAGGGGGCGCCAAAACCGCCCAATATCATCATCAT